TTCTGATGAGTAGGTCGGTGGTGAACCGGTGATGCAGGATTCCATTCTTGTCATGCAAGTTATGATATTTCTTGTTCCTCGTGCAGGTCGTGATGTTGTCGTTGAAGGCGGCGCCTGGTTAGGAGGATGCGGCTGTGTGGAAGCCACTAGACTACTTGAAGGTCGAAGCTGATGTGGTGGTGGTGTCGATTGTTGTTGATTCGGGTAGTGAATACGGTAGTGGCCAGACGTTAGACAGAGGTGGCAGAATGGTGGTACGTGTCTTTGTCCTTGATGCTCGTTCTGTCGGTTGTTGTTATTGTAGCGCGTTGAGTGTGAAAAGAGAACTCTGGTGCTGATGCCCTTTTCTTGTGGCGTTCTTCGTGCAGGTCCATGTCTTGTTGTTCGGCGTGAATTTCGACGCAGAGGTTTGCTTCGGAGATTCTTCCATGGGCTCGAAGAATGGCCCGGGTGGAGCGCCACTGAGGACCGAGGCATGTGATGACGACAGTGACAAAAGCTTCTTCGGATATTGATATGCCGCATCGAAGGAGTCTATCGCGTGGACCACGACAGTGACTGATATATGCCATTCCCTTTTCGCCGGGTTGCATTTGGACCGTTGTCAATTGCGCCATGAGATGACTTTGATTAACGTTGTCGGTTGCTTGATACATGTTCTTCAGGTGGTTGTACGTGAGCTCGGTGGAGTTTCCGTATCCGCGATAAGACCAGATATTCTGCTGCTCGTTTGCTGTTATGTTTTGCATGAGTATGGAGTACGCCATTAGTGACTGATACATGTACTGCTGCTTGTCATACTGTGTCCCGTGCGTTGGATATGGTAGGGTGCCGTCGAAGAAGCCAAGAATTTGAGCGAATTCGAATGGTGTTGATGTTTGCAGTTTCAGCACGTGTGCGAATTGTGACTGCAATTGAAGTGCATGCAGTGTCTTCGTCTCTTGTCCAGGTGGGAGTCGATTCGGCATGAAGCTGACGGAGCCGCGTTGAGGCTCATACGGTGCGAAGGTAGGCTGTGCGCAAAAGATGAGCCGTCTAGACGCATGGGAGTAACTCCGTTGTTGTTGTCCCTGTTGTTTGACTGCGTATGTGCAGCTTGTTGATGTTGCTCGTAGAACGACATGAAGGAGAAGAACTTCTCCATCATACTTGGGTCAAAGATGGTTGCTTGCTTCGCAGGAGTTTCAGTTGACTCAGCAGCTGGTCTTTGAGTTGTGCCTCCTTCTGTCTGCAGTCCAGAGGCTGGCGGTGGAGTAGGAGTGGTGCCGGGAGATCCAGTAGACCAGCTTCTTTCTTTCTGTGATGCCATGTCTTCTGTTGTTGTAGGAAGTTGAACAGAGTTGAGTCTTGGGTCGAAGCCAGATGTCGGATTTGCAGGTGCTTCAGTGGATTCTGCAGCTGGTCCTTGGGTAGTGCCTCCTTCTGTCTGTAGTCCAGAGACAGGAGGTGGAGTAGGAGTGGTACCGCGGGATCCAGTAGACGAACTCCTTTCTTTCTGCGTTGCCATGTCTTCTGTTGTTGTAGGAAGTGGAAATAGTTGAGTCTTGCCCTTGCAAGCTCTCATACCATGTTGGGCTGAGAAAAGCCCTTAGGATCGTTCTCAAGACTAAGGCTCAGAATAGTGATGTATTAGCGAAAGCGTATTAGTGAACTGGTTGAACCACCTTGCACTGGTATGTGAGAACAAGATAAGTTGATACCGTATTCCCCCGGATGAAAGACCCTAGGGGCTGTTATTGATTTCACAAAAAAAAGGGGGGGGGTCTTATTATATAGTAAAAAACCGATAAGACCCGGGTCTTATTATAAGTGCTATGTTTTTAAAATATAATGAAATGCAAGGGTGTTGTAATGCAGATTTGCGTTTTTTAAACTAGGAATCACCCCGCGAATGTCTTGAGCCGAGAAACCGGGCACAATCCATGAAGCATCTGAATGCTTCATGCTCATTGGCCCATATTCAATGGTAACCAGCATTACAGATTGGGGGCCGACCAACGTGTACCACGTCCAATGCTTTGTGTCAGACCGCCTCGGACGTCTCATCCCTTGCATGGCACGTGAGGCTCTCAGCACAGAGTCGCGCTATCTCTTTCACGTCTCGTGCACAAGCGAATTTGACACCGCCAGGGAACGGACCCACCTCTGTGCAATGGGGAGCGCAGCTCGGCAGAGTCTAGCATAGCGGGACTAGCACGGCATATTAAATTCAGAGCGCGAAGAATGCCAAGCATAGCATTAGGCAGAAAAAGGGTGTCAGCATGGTGTCAACGCCCGATTCAGGCACGTCAGAATCCCGTCGCCCTCGTGCAACAACCTTCTGTCAACCTGCTCGAGTTAGGACTACGCCGCGTCCTATGCTGCCCACGCCAGTACCGTCTTCGAGTGAGACTTCTCAGATTAGCCGTACCCCATGGGCCCCCCTTCCCATAGTCCGTGTCCCCGTATTTCCGCAGTCGTCACGTCCGCAAGGCAAGAAGAAGAAGGTACAGGATGCAGCGCCCCCCGCCTCGCCTTGCCACCGTATGACGAAGAAGGCGCAGCATGCGTACACGGCGAGGGAGAAGCTGTACTGGCTGGATATGCTAGACACGCAGCCCGATCTCAGCATCCGGGGGTTGGCGCGGCTAGCTAACGTGCATCCGAAGCAGATTCGCGAATGGCGGAAATTGAAGGAGCGACTCCTTGTTTCAGCGGCGTGTCATCGTCGCCTCGTTGGCGCAGGCCGTAAGGCCAAGTGGCCTTTCATGGAGCGGGCCGTCTACCGTCAGTTTTTTGCGCACCGTGCCAAGGGTCTGGCCGTCTCTGTGAGCATGCTTCAGAAGTGGTCGCGGCAGTACATGAAGCACCGACACCCTCGGGCCGACTGGCGCGGGTCTAACCGTTGGAGTTTCCGTTTCCGCGTATGGTGGTCCTTGGCAAAGCGTGTCAAGACAAAGATGGGGCAAAAGCTGGCTGACAGTGAGTCCTATTTCCCTGTTGCTATATTTGCCCGCGGAAACCGGGCTCGTGTGTGTAATCGATGTTGTCCCGCGACTAACAATTTCTATGTTCTCTCTCCTTGCAGATTTGAAGGCCAAGGTGGAATCCTTCTGGGAGTTTGTTCGGCAGATGCAAGTCCTGAATTCCTACCCCACCAGTCTGATCGTTAACGCTGATCAGACACCGCTCTTCTTGGAGATGCCGCAAGAACGCACATTGGAGATGAAGGGGGCGTGCACTGTGCACGTCCGTACCGCGGGTTACGAGAAGGAGCGCCTCACTGTTATGCTGGCGGTGACGGCGAGCGGCTTGAAGTTGCCACCGTATGTGGTGTTCAAGCGCAAGACAATCCCGAAGGTCGTCGTTCCGCGAGGTGAGTCATTATTGCCGTTACGCATGTTACTCGTACCCTTGTACATGCGACTGATGTGCATCATGCGGTGTGCAGGCGTCGTTATCCGTGCGCAGGTACGGGGATGGATGGACGAGAACCTCGTCCAGGACTGGACTACCCAAGTCCTCGTGCCCTTCATGCGGCCCCTGCAGGACGAGGGCTGCAGGCGGAAGGACGTCCTCCTCGTCCTGGACTCATATCGAGGACATCTCACCGAGGCTGTCGGCCAGACTATGCATCTCTTCAGGCTGACACGCGCGGTGATCCTAGGCGGTTGCACACCGCTTGTGCAACCGCTTGATGTGTCAATCAACCGTGCCTTCAAGGCGGGCGTCCGACACCGCTACGACACCTGGTTTGAGGAGGACGGGATCAGAAGCACAACTCGCGCAGGTGAGCCTTTGTATGAAGCAATGGGGGCGTGTTGTCGATGTAAGAACAGTCGAATCACACAACCATACATCCTCCAATCCCTTACCCTTGGCCCCAACCCGCAGGCAACCTGAAGAAACCGCCGGCCGAGCTCGTCCTGAAGTGGATTGACGAGGCGTGGGCCGACGTTCCCGAGGAGATGGTGAGGAAAGCATTCCTCACCTGCGGCATCTCCAACGCAGAGGACGGGAGCCAGGATCATCTGATCCTGGCACACATGCGGGATTCCGGCGAGGTGGAGGTGCTGGAAGACGTGATGGAGGAGGAGCAGGATGAACTGGTCCCCAACCCGTTCTACCCGGCCCCCGTGGTCACCCCTCCCGATGTGACCGTCGAGATGGAGGAGGAGGCCGTGCTGGCCGCTGAAGCAGAGAAGGCAGATGAGGAGGCGGTACCTGCTAATTCAGACTCGAGCGAGTCCGACGATGGAAACGCGAAGGAAGCTGACGAGTGGAGCAACGAAGGGGATGAATGGTGGGCCCCTGGTCGCTATGAGGGGGCTGAGGTAGAGGAGTGGGTGGCGGTGACGAAGATGAGTAGCAAGGCGGGGGCAGATTCCAAGGTGGTGGGTGAAGAGTGGAGCTAGCTGGGTGTTGAGAGGCTGCCTTGATTGTATTTTGTGACTCATGTGGCCTACCATGTGCCACTGCTTGCTTAATTGACATGAATTAACCTCTAAAAAACACTTTTGAGGTTGGGGGGGGGGGGTCTTATAATGATTTCACCCCAATTGGGGGGTATAAGGAAAACAGTCTTGAATATTATATCCCCCCCCCTCCCCCCCCCCCCCGTATTAAAGACCTGGGAACATTATTATGGGGGGGTCTTTTATCCGGAGGAATACGGCAATAGCAAAGAGATACAGGGCTTTATATGATTACAAGGAATATGAAATGTCTAACTAACTGTAACTGCTCTTGCGGTTCGATACAGCGACAACTCAATAGCGAGTCAGTTATGTGTCCTTGTCGCGCTTCTTTTCAGCGAGTCAAAGGTTGCTGACCTTTGACCTTCACTTAACCTCTTGCTGTTGTCTTTCTGTCAACCGCTTTGGTTGACTCGCTGTTGCTTCGTTGTAGTTTGCTTCGCTTACGTTGTAGTGTTCGACACATCAGAAGCGCGGACTATATGTTTCCAACAATCATAAGTTTGTTGTAAGACGTCTAATAACGAGTACAGGCACCGGCTACGGTCACTCTGCCTCTTCAATGACCTCCTTCACCGAATTAACCTGCATCCGGAAACAGGCAGACACGGGCAGACACGGGCAGAGACAAGGGCAGACACGGGCAGGCCAGGGCAGACAAGAGCAGAGAAGGGCGGACCAGGCAGTGAGCTGATGTGAGAGAAGCAGGCCAAGTGTAATGCATGAACATTATTATACACGACAAACACTCAGCATTCATTACAATTATGCCCCTATTCAACACCACATTCGACTCGAAGCACAGTCCACGAGTATCATTCCCAACCCGCTCTCTAGAGTCACAAATGAGGAGAGGAGGAGAAATAGTATGCCTTCATTTCATTCACTGTTATCACATCCGTTCTCCACTCCACTATTTTTTGTTACAGATGGGGAAAAACATGGTCCACCATTAGTCGCTACAATCACATCCATTAAGCTCACCTCTGGAATGTAGTGTGTGAGCATGTTCTCTACGCCGCTCTTTAGAGTCACAGAGGAGCTCGGGCAGCCACTGCAGGCACCCTTCATGCGCAGATACACGATTCCCGTGGCCCTGGTGGGTGGGTGGCAGTGAGGGGAGGGAGGGCACAACAATGAGGGTTGGATTAAGAAGGGCGCCATGGCTCGAGCAGCCACTGCAAGCGCCTTTCATGCGCGGATACACGATCCCCGTGGCGTGGATGGTAAGCAAGGTCACATGGACAGGCACTGCAAGAGGGTGATGTGCCAAGGGGGTGACGTGGCATGAGGGTGATGTGCCAAGAGGCACGTGGCAAGAGGGTGATATGGCAAGGCGATGATGTGGCAAGAGTGTGACATAGCAAGAGGGTGACGTGAAGAGCTCACTCGTCAAAGTCAATAAAGTCAGACTCACTGGTCAAAGTCAACAAAGTCAGACTCACTCGTCAAAGTCAACCAAGTCAGACTCACTCGTCAAAGTCAACAAAGTCAATGTCCCCTCCGTCCTCCTGCACTGCCGGTCGAATGCGCGTCTCCAGCAGCTCACGTATCATCAGCACTGTCTCACTCTCATCCTGAGAGGGGTGGTCAATGGGGGAGGGGGAAGGGGGAAACAGCAGGGGGACGTGTGAGTTCAGCACACGACTGCTGTATCATCAGCACATGACTGCTGTATCATCAGCACATGACTGCTGTATCATCAGCACATGACTGCTGTATCATCAGCACATGACTGCTGTATCATCAGCACCATCTCACTCTCGATCTGAAGCAAGACAAGACAAGAGGCAAGGAGCTGAGTAAAGAAGGAACGAATTTCAGCTCTAGTAACCTCAGCACCGTTTCAGGTTGTTGCACACCACCACCCCACCTCTACTCCCACCCATTGCCACCGCACCCCACCTCATCACACCACTTTCCCCCACTGCGCCTGTACTGATAAGCCATTACCCCCACCCCACCTCTGCCCCCTTATTCCCCCACCCCACTCTCCCAACTTCATCACTCCAACCACTCCACCTCTGCCCACCTCTGCATGTTGTTGCTCCACGCCAGCTGCTGCCGCCGCTGCCTGTGGGTTCAGCACCACACCTCTCCAACTCACCTCTCTATTCCTGCAATTCCCTAGCCCACCTCCATCTCACCTCAACCCTCAGCCGCACATCTCTACTCCTATTCTCAACCCCACCTCTGCCGGTTGTTGCTCCCCACCCGCCGCTGCCGGCTCTGCCTGGGGGTTCAGCACCGGCTGCCCGGAAGCAAAAAAGTCCATCAGTGCAGCGAAAATCTCTGGCTTGAGGAGATCCCAGGAGCTCTCCTCCGTTTTAGTCACGGTCACAAAGTCACCCCCCAGGAACACCCGTGCTACACCTGGAGGTGGAAGTGGTGGTGCGATGGTGTGGAGGGATGGTGTGGAGGGATGGTGTGGAGGGATGGTGTGGAGGGGTGGTGTGGAGGGATGGTGTGGAGGGATGGTGTGGAGGGATGGTGTGGAGGGATGGTGATGAAATGCTGGTTGGATGGCTATTCAGTTGACTCAAAAGTCACCTGCGGACGGGAGTGGTGGAGGGATGGAGAAGCACCAGTGGCAGTGGCAGTGGCAGTGGCAGTGGCAGTGGCAGTGGCAGTGGCAATGGCAGGCAGTGGCAGGCAGTGGCAGGTCAGGCAAAAAAAATAGTGCGGTTGGGCATCGAAAAAGATAATCGCTTACCATCAATGCGGAACAGTGCAATTGCAAGTGGAGACGCTAGGGCAGCTCGGGCAGAAGAAAACTCGATCGACGATTGAGACGAGGGCTGATCCTCCGATGGCGAGGAGGTGGAGGGAGAGGAGGAGGTGGAAGGAGGAGGGGAGGAGAGGATGGGCTGGCCAGGGTTGAACATGAGGGAGGCGGGGTTGGGAGTGGTGAGGGTCTGAATGAACATGGACCGCCGCTGCTGGTGCTGATGTGGCAGCACATGTTGCTGGGCAAGGTGATTGCGGTGGTGGTAATGCAAGGAACGCTGCTGGTGAGAGTGGTGTTGGTGCAGCTGCTTAGTTAAGTGGTGGGGTTGTTGATGGTGCAGGGACAAGCGGCGATGCAGGCAACGCAGAGAGGAGCCGGCGGTGGTGGTGGTGGCAGTGGCAGTGGTGGCAGCAGTGGTGGCAATGGTGGTATTGGTGGTGGAAGTGGCAAGGGTAGCGGTGGTGGTGTTGGTGGTGGAGGTGGGTGCAGCAGCCGCATCACAGGGGAAGAAAGAGCAGGCTACAGCATGTGACGCTGACGCGGACAAGGAGGCAGCAGGAGCAGAGGGAGCGGCAATCCCAAGGGTGTGAGGCGGTGCGAGCAGCCTCCATGCGCTTAACTGTTGAGACGGCAACATCAAAGCCGGCAAAACAGAGCGAAGCGGAGCAATTTGGAGCAGAGGAGAGCAGAGGAGAAGAGAGTAGAGCAGAGCAGAGCAGCAAGGATGAGGCGAGTGAAATCACACGGGAGGAGTGGGTGGAACAAAAGGATGGGTTTTGAGAAGCGCTACAAACCAAGCCGAGTGGATTGGACCAATAAAAAGGGCGTAGTTGAGACGGAACAAATCGAAGTGAAACGCATCGGATCCTGCAAGATGATCTAATCCTATCCAAGACGATTCAATTGATGGAGCAGCTTGCACTTGCAGGCCACAACGTCTGCGATCAAGCAGAACATTGGGAAATACGCTGCAGCAGACAGCTTCTGAACTGTTATGAGCGATCTCAGAAATAGCTTTGTGAAACTCGTTCTAGTAGATATGAGCGAGCCCTTGCCAATTGACATGACTGACTTGGTTTAAAATTGAGCTTACAGCTTTCCTCGCCGACATGTCGGAGCAGCGATCAACAGCCTGACTGCTATGGGCTCAGTCTTTATGGCAGGCAGACGACGCTGTTGTTGATTCTTTTCCGTTTCCCCTTTTCCTTTTCGGATCGTAGGCTCGACGAATAGGACTTTACGGCGACGGGTGGACCCGACCTCTACGCGCTGCGACTGGCTTATTCGACGGAACGATCCTCTGAAACGAGAGCGGAGCGCGGCGGAGATGGAGCGGAGGAGCGGAGGATCGAGTGGTAGGGAAATGAACATTGAACGAGCTTGAGGTGGACGTGGGGTGGCGGAAAAAGGGCGTGGCGGAAAAGTCCGGTTTGCACACATGGTTGCATATCTCCGCTTTGTTTGGGGGTTGACGATACATTCATGTTACACCTTTGAAGGAGAGAGATTGGAACAAAAAGTATTTTCTGCTACGGTAGGTGTCACACAATGACCGGTCCTAGATCTTTTCCCCGGTCTGAACACGACCTGGATTTTGTTCTTTTCCTGTGTGCTTCATTCAGTGTGACCTTCACTGCCCTACTTGCACACATTTCTCCTAAATCCAGATTTCAGGTTCCAGTTTTCACCATCTTTCCGATCCTTGTAGACTCAGTCCCGAATCGCATCAGCGTGTCGCTTTCACGTGAGCCAATCTCGGGAACTCCGTGAGATTCTTCTCTGCTGAGCTCCCGTCTAACACGCAGCTCAGCGATCCCAGTAGCTCTCCCCGTTCGTTTGTCTCCGGGCTGCGAATTTGTGACCGTTACGTTGCAGATCCATCAGCAACGGCGAAACGCGATTAGAAAGGCATAAGCACGAAAAAGAGGGGCCTCGTTTCGCATCCATTTCTTTGTTAATTTGGAACGCTACGATTCAGATCGGACCGAGTGTTAAGACGACTCAAAAGTCACCTCATAACGCCGGACATCAGGAAAAAACAGAGGCAGTCGATTCTTGTGGCTCCTCAGAAGGCGGAGCCAGAAGCAGACGATTATTCAGGCGCCTGAAGAGGCGGAGCCGGTAGCAGTAGTAGTCGAGGGAAGGTTCTTAGGAGCGGCCATGGCCCACCCGGGTCAGTGCAAGGACGAGGCGTCGGGACTGGAGAAGGTGGTTCTCAGACAGGCTGGCGGCGCGACAGCAGAGGTAAAGCACACCGCAGTCCCGCAATGACAGCCGCGTCACGTCAATTGACGGCGTACGAGGAATTTCGGAGGATTTAGCGTAGCTTCGTAGTTTCGTGGTTTAAAAAGCTTGTCAAATATTCAGTATAAAAGGCACAGTGAAGGGGGTTTGCGGTGTGGCTACGTGGTGTCACTACTTACACAGATGTTCGCATCGGTGTTTCCGAGCTTGGCTTCACGGGTTTCCATTGACAAATAGGCCGGTGTTTCCTTTTCAACAATCTCGTCATTTCACGGAGTGCCAGGAATCTGGGAGGATTTAGCTTGGCTTGGAATTTTTCTTGTCGATTCTTCAAGCCTTCATTTCAGTGTTAATAAGCTTGCCTATCCGTTCTTTCCGCCTTTTACGCCACTCAATCTGACCCTCTTAATTTTCGGGCATTATTAGTGATTTCTCAGGCCCACCTAATCTGCGTGCAAGAATTCATGTGGTAACCCTGTAACGTCAGGTGTTTTTCCATGGCGGGCACGTCACCTCGTGGAAGCACGACGGCAAGGAGGAGAACCTCTTCATGAGCAGCAAGGTCAGAATGCTTCGAGACATCTCATGCTCTGACACATCTGAAAACCCAGAGAGACTTTTGATGGGTCTGATACCGGCTTATTTGGGCGTTTTAACTGGTCTAGTTTGTTGATTTCAATATTTCATACATGCTATGCCCAAGTGGCCTCTCTCTATGCTCCCACCTCCCTCTCACGCATACGCTCCTGGCTCCCTCTCGCGTACACCCGCATACGCTCCTGGCTCCCTCTCGCGCACACCCGCATACGCACTCCCAGTCACAGTATTCCTGGATACTCATGCTCACACATGCGCATCCCCTGCCATGTCTGCAAGCAGGCGATTTTCAAGCCATTTAAGGCAATCCGGGCGGCATCCCGGTGATCTTTCTCTGTGCTCCCACCTCCCTCTCACGTATCTCTTCTGCACCCCCTCTCGCTCTCCCTTTCACACCCGTGCTCATCCATTGTACAGGCCATCTTCAAGCCACCCAAGGCAATCCGAGGCGGCATCCCAGTGTGCTTCCCTCAGGTGCGCTTAGCTGCTCACCAAATCTCCAGCTTTTCAGTTCAGCAGCTCGCCAGCTCACCTGCTCGCCAGCTCACCTTCTCGCCAGTTGAACAACTCACCAGCTCAGCAGCTCAGCAGCTCAGCAGCTCAGCAGCTCGCCAGCTCAGCAGCTCGCCAGCTCACCTCTCCGCCGCCTCCTCATGCCGGCTCATGTGTTTTTCCATCTACTGCTGAGTCCTCAGAGTCAAGACTCCTCTTCCTCTTTATCTCCCGTTCTTCACGTGCTGTCCTTTCCTCGAGTTGATTCGATCTTGCTGCGCCAGTGTCTCATTGAACGTGCGTTTCATTCAGGCCAAGACCTTGTGGCACCTTCCTTGTCTTTTGAGTCGACTCAAAAGTCACCTCGTTTCATTCAGGTTAAGACCGTGTGGCACCTTCCTTGCAATTTACCCTCCCAAACGCACTCTCTCCCTCTTCTCCACCCTCTCTCTCTGATTTTCCCCCTTGCCCACTCTCCCTCCCTCCCTCCCTCCTACCCTCCCTCCCTGCGTCCCTCCCTCCCTCTCTCCCTCCCTCCCTCCCTCCCTCCCTCCCTCCCTCCCTCCCTCCCTCCCTCCCTCCCTCCCTCCCTCCCTCCCTTCCTCCCTCCCTCCCTCCCTCCCTCCCTCCCTCCCTCCCTCCCTCCCTGCGTCCCTTCCTCCCTCTCTCCCTCCGTCCGCCCCTCCGTCGTCCTTGTTTCCCCATACCCCCTCCTCCTTCCTCGCCGTGCCCCCCATCTTTCCTTCCCCTGTTGCAGTTCGGCCCAATGGGACCGTTGGATCAGCACGGATATGCCAGGAATAGATCTTGGTCGTTGGATCCCGCGTCTCCCAACACAGACCCTGCGTCTCTTGATCTTCTCCTCACGCCCTCCCCTGAAGACCTGCGCCTCTGGCCGCACAGGTGAGGGCAGTTGATGGCTTTTGCATACAGGAGTGGTGTGCAGGCAATTTGCACCGGCCTTCCCCTTCCTCCCTCTTCTCCTCACGCCCTCCCCTGAAGACCTGCGCCTCTGGCCCCATAGGTGAGTGAGGGAGCTTGATTGATGGTTTGGTTCTAGCATTCAGGTTGGGCCGGCCAGCTGAAGGTTGTCACATGCAGGGGTGCTGCGTCTGTAGTCTGCACTCCCCTTGCCTCCCTCTTCTCCTCACTCCCTCTCCTGAAGACCTGCTCGGGAGAGGAGCTGCTGTTGGGATGCCAGCACACATACACGCGCTCTCTTCTCTTTGCTCCCTACAAACGTGAGAGAATTCTCGTAACTGACACATGCGCTCCCTTCCCTTAGCTGTCTCCAACCTTTCTATCCTCCCTCCCCTTCCCTCCCCCTCCTCCTCTCCTTTCCTCTGGTCCGCCACCACGTGCCTCTTCAACTTTCAGCTGCGTATGAAGGTGGCGCTTGGCTGGGAAGCAAGCTGCTGTTGTCCATGCGTGTTCCCCTCCCTCTGCTGTCGTCCTTACAGCTCATTGCTCAACACTGACAGCAAGGCGCTCTCCTTCATCCCTTCGAGTGTGCTGCTCTCTTCATCCTCTCCTTCCCTCCCACTCTCCATTTCTCTCTCCCTGTGCAGCTTTGAGCTGCGAATGAAGGTGGCCCTGGGAAGAGGGGGTGAGCTGTTGTCGTCCACGCAAGTGCTCAACACCCTCAGCAAGGCTCTCTCCTTCACCACTTAAGATGTTCTGTTTGCATCCATGCGTTTCCCGTGTCTCCTCTTGAAGCTTTGAGCTGCGCATGAAGGTGGCGCTAGGCCGGGGAGGCGAGCTGCTGTCGTCCACGCGAGTGCTCAACACCCACAGCAAGGCGCTCTCCCTCACCCCTTTCAGTGTTCCCTGCATATCATCTTCTCCCTCTCTCTCGCTCTCTCCTCC